AGAGACATTCTCTTCTTGAGTATCTTGAGGAGTGGATGGACCTTCAGTTCCAACCTTGGGTGTTGTAATTACCTGGGTTCATATATGACATCAAGGTAGAACTATCTCAACTACAGTAATTAAAAGGGGAATAAAGTTACATGTGGGTGACCTTAAATGTGCGGGCTTTTTTTTCATTCATCCATTCCTCGTGACAAAGCTGTAATTTCTCTGGAACATCACTTGGTCACTTACAGTGACTATTCAAAAGGTTTGATAATCCTCTTATTGTTAGCAATTAAATTTTTGTTTGATGGGGATTTCTATTTGCAAAGATGAGGAACTTTTAAGGATGGTGAAATTATTGCCCCTACTTGCCAACATATGGTGGGAGCAGCAAATGGGAATCCTAAAAAAAACATATATATATAGGTATGGTCATTATATAGATGATCTGTTACTAACTTTTGCAAGGCACATAAGAGGAATTAAACAATTTTAAAGAGTATGAGGTGGTACCAAAACGTTTTGAGACTAGTTTTGTAACACGCCAACATATGGCAGCACAAGGTGCATGCACAGTCACTGGGGGCACCAACCTTCATAAATCAGTGTGCCAAAAGACATTATCTTGTGTATATTGGGAGCTGTGCAGCTGCTGCTATTCTGATCACCTGCATTACCTCGTCTACTATTTCATCATGGACAGCAAGTTAGAAGAAAGAGCAAATGTGAAATTCTTCATGAAACTGGGCAAATTTGCCACAGAGACATTTGACATGATCCAGCAAGTTTACAGCGATGCTGCAATGAGTTGTTTAGGTTTTTTGAGTGGCATGTGTGCGTTAAGAGCGTAAGAACATCACTGGAAGACAACAAAAAATCTGGCAGACCTTCAACAAGCTCAACAACTGAAAATGCCCTCTTCCCAAAGATGAAGATCCAGCTCAAAAATCGCCATTTTGACAACATTGTGGAGATCCAGCGATTTGCCCAGTTTCATGCAGATTTTCATATTTGCTCTTTGTTCCAACTTGCTGTCCATGATGAAATAGCAGTTGTGGTAACACATGTGTTCAGAATAGCACCAGTTGCACAGCTCCCGATGTACACAGGGCAATGTTTTTTGGCACACTGACTGATGAAGGTCAGTGCTCCCTGTGACTGTGCGTGCAGCCTTGTGCTGCCATCTGTTGGCATGTTACAAAACTAGTGTTGAAACCTTTAGATACCAATATATATATATATATATATCAATAACAGTCAATTAAATCTAAGTTTCATAAGGGCACTGAATAGGATAACTATCAACGTCATGAATTAACAGTGGCAATTCCACATTGCTTGCTATCAGTAGTCACCCACCATATAGTATTAAAGCTGGCCAGTGGGTGAACGTAAGTGAGCTAAAAGAAATTGATCATATGACAAAACCTCTGGTTTACAAACTGAGATCATTATGGAACAATTGAAACAAAGAAAATACCCCCATTGGACTATGGACAGAAGAAGTTTGTAATTTTCCCCATGACTTTTTCATTTGCTTATATCTAATACTGTCAGTGTCATATTTTTGTAAGAAGTTTCTGTAAGGATTTGATGTTTTTAGATTTAGATATGGGATTTTTGGATCCTTTTGGTAATCTGGTTCAGTTGCTACCATTTTAAGATGCTTTTATGCTTTACCTACTTTGTTTGGTGGGTGGATATACAAGGTGGTATCAAATTGTTTCAAGACTAGGTTTGTAATAAGCCAACAGATGGCAGCACAAGTCACAGGGAGCACCAGCCTTCATAAGTCAGTGTCCCAAAAGACATCATCCTGTGTACATCAAGAGCTGTGCAACTGGTGCTAATCTGACCACGTGCATTACCACATCTGCATAGACAGCAAATTAGAACAAAGAACAGACGTGATATTCTGCGTGAAACTGGGCAAATCGCTGGATCTCTGCAATGTTGTCAAAATGGTAGCCTTTGCGCTTCGTCTTCATCTTCGGGAAGAAGGCATTTTCAGGGGTTGAGCTTGTTGAAGGTCTTCCTGATCTCTTGTCATCTTCCAGTGATGTTGTTCTGCTCCTGAAACACGTGTGCCACTCAGTACACCTCGAAGGACTCATTGCAGCATTGCTGTAAATCATGTCAAATGTCTCTGTGGCAGATTTGCCCAGTTTCACGCAGAATTTCATGTTTGCTCTTTGTTCTAACTTGCAGTCCATGATGAAATAGCAGACGTGGTAATGCATGTGGTCAGAATAGCACCAGTTGCACAGCTCCTGATGTACACAGGACAAAGTATTTTGGCACACTGACTTATGAAGGTTGGTAATCCATGTGACTGTGTATGCAGCCTTGTGCTGCCATCTGTTGTCTCTAAACATTTTGATACCACATGGTATAATGATCAGGGCATAAATTCATAATTAGCTACTATTAAGACAAAGGTCTGCTGAAACACACACATGTCTGTATGAGTTTTTTAATGTACTCATTACAAAGAAAGAGACATGCATTATGGAATTTTTAAAAGTGCTGGCATTTTGTGGCTTGTTACTGAGTTGCTGTAGACGGCACTGCATCATCTCTGAATTTATAGAGAGCAGATCATGTGATTTGAACATTTTGTATAAGTAAATGTTGCCTTCAGAAAAACAATACATGCAAGTGCAAAAAAACTAACTTGGCCTGGCCCCTTGTGCCTCCTAAGCCTCCCTAATGGTTGCTCAGTCTATTACTATAACAGGGAGACTTGATTTGCAGGAGAGCAGCAGGGTCATACTTAGGGCTGCCCCCTCATCCCTTTAAACCCGAACACATATTAATTACACAGGTTCTGAGGCTGATTTAATGCAGATAAGGCACTAAGTGAGTTTAATTACCATCTTATTCAGCCACAGAACCTCTGTAATTAATATGTGTTCAGTTTTAAAGGGATGAGGTGGCAACCCTAGTCATACACTACTGATTATTTTCACATGTGTTTTTAACTCAAGGAAGCCTGTTTTTATTTGTCATCATATGCTCAGCTAGAAAGAAAAAATATGGTCTTTTTCAGAAAAACACATGAAAACAATCAATGTTAATAAATTTATCAGTGATAAATGTTTTAAAGACCCCTTTTCTATGTATAGATCATAATCATCCGTATAGCTAGGGCAGCCATATGTATTTCTTCTCTGGCCTGTTTGGTACTGCAGCATGATGGATCTATGTAACTACTCATTTCTCTTTGTCTAAAGCTCGCCAAACACCAGTAAAATTTAGTTCAAACATTCAAAAATTCGGAAAAATCGTTCATTCAGTCTTGCCATGATTGATTTAACCAATTTAGTCCAAAAGCCCTTAAAATTTTATCCAGACCTAGTACTTGAATGAGATCCCAGATTTATTAAACATGTTTCTTTTTTACCTACTGTAAACCATGCATATTACAATATGTACAATTTTTCCTAAATGAAAACCACATTCACAGTTAGAATTTTGTTCATTGGAAAAAAAGTTTTACATAATGCGCCTTTGAATTTCCCATTACTATGCTTGAAAATAATTTTATACCACTAACTATTAGAAAATTGAATGAAAGTTTTCAAACAAAATTCTACTAGTGTGCTAGTATTTAAGTCTACTTAAACGCCAGTTTTAGTATAACAATGTGGTATCTGTGGTTGAAAACAATGTACTCATTTTATTTAAAAGATTGTTCTCAGTGGCTGTTAACTAAGTTAAGTGTATATGTGAATACATTCCAATCACTATAAGAGAATTTTCATAAACACACCTAGATCTGAAGATTTTTAGACCAAGGAAGTAGTTCAATCTGTTTAAATACATTTATTGATAGGTTAACATAATACAAACAACTCACCAAAAAATATTTACAACAGAAGAGAGGCAGCCCAGCCTGGTAACAATTCATTATTATATCACCTATTCTATCTGTACAGTGGCTAATATAAGGCACCCCAATCAGTCACTACACGTAGATAATGTATATGGGGTGCAGCCTGAAAGAAGGATCTAAATAGAGCTGCAGTTTCCAACGCATGTGAGATGTGATAAGAAAAAAAAAAAAACAATAGCAAAGCCTTTGAAGTACAAAGAGTCACAGTAATATGTAAAGAATCACAATAAATACTATATAAATATATATATATATATATATATATATATGTATATATATATATATCAGAATACCTATTGAAAATATTACACAAGCAACACTTTATATGGTAACACTAATAAAGGAGGAAAGTGAATAAAGTGAAATAAAGATAACCATTAGAGAGAGAATCCACAACCCTCTATGAGATGCATAAAAATTATTGGTATACCCAGCATATATAAATTGAAAAGCAAACTTTAAATCTACTTTTGTAAATTAGCTGCTATAGTTTCACTTTAAATTTAAAGACTGCAACAGGTTTTCCTGGATGAGTTTGTAATGAGTCATTGGTTATGGTATATTTTGGCTGCAAGGTTAGGCAATCTAAAGGAGCTAAGAAAATCACATTTTTGGCAAATACACACATACACGTTTCTCAGATGTTCCACAAATATTCACAGCTAGCATAAAAATATAAGATTTGCATACAGACAATTAGTTTAACCATCTCCTTTAAAGGATACGTTTACTTAACTTAATAAATAAATGCAACTTTATTTTTTTTTTTCTAAAGGAACCTGCAAGCGTTGTACCCACAATCAGGAGATCACAGGTGCAATGTCAGGCTCCTGCATTCTCTCACCAGAGATGTCTGCCTAAACAGGCAGATAATTACTGGAGAGCAGGAAGAATCAGTGAACTATGAAAAAGCAATCATCAGCGCGCCCTCACAGTTCATTGAGAGCAACTCGCGGTCTGCCAGGGTGGTAGAAGGAACTTGTAGTTCATTCATTCACAGAACTTTGAATGAATGATGCAGCTATATAAGCAGAGTCCTCACTTGTGCTGTGTTAAAATGTTGAAAGCACTGCCCGAGGGCTCGGGGTCAGTAGGGAGCCCCATGAGATGCCCCTGGTACCTTTTTCATAGGCTTTTTTGAGTTTGGGCAAAGACACAGGGGCCCCATGATCCCCTATTGCCCGGGGGCCCCATGAGTTGTCAGTCCACCCCTGATTACAAGCACAAGTCTTGTTAGCTTCTGGTTTGGCAGATGGTTTAAAAAGTTTATAGAAGACCAGGTGAAGATAGAAGTGATTGAGTGACAAAAAGGAGTGTGGCGCCTGCATCGTTGGAGATAGGCACTTTTATCAAACATACTTGTACCTCATGGCAAAATCACCTGGAAGGAGTAACATTTATGAGTGGTTATATTCTGTTTTAATGTGTTAAATAAGTAGTATTCACTCTGAATACCACAACCATGTGAGAAGGAAATTTTAAAACAGGATAATAGTTTAAGTGAAATAAACACAGCTTCACCTTATTTATTAGGATCATGCATTCATTTTGTTAATCAAACAGTATCTTTTTTACCCTTCCTCTGGTAATCCAACCAATTAGTCTATTTATATCACATAGATAAATGCCTAAAACAGAAACCATGAAAGTTATAAGGAACACCAAGACTAGAGTGACAAAGTAATTGCACAGGTTTGCCTTCTCCATAAAAAAAAATATAATAAATTATTCATTTTCCTGTACTATGTGCTCAGTTCAATGGCTGTAGTTCACTGAAGATTAAAAAAAAATAAACATGTTATACCTACCTGCTCTGTGCAATGGTGGTCTAGATCCTCCTCTTCTAGAGACTCCTGCCAGTGCTTTCCACTCCTGCTCTGCCCCCTCGGCAAACCCTGTGCCCCCTTTGCATTGTGTACACAATACCAGGGGCGGACTGACCATTTGGAAACTCAGGCACCGCACTAGTCAGTAGGGGGCCCCATGAGATGCCTTTTTCATAGGCTTTTTTGAGTTTGGGTAAGGTCACAGGGCCCCATGATCCCCTATTGCCCCGGGGCCCCATGAGTTGTCAGTCTGCCCCCGCACAATACAGTATGCTCCTGAGCCAGACTGTGTGCATCCATAGCTTGGCTACGCTCCCCACTCCCTCCTCAAAGGATTTGACTAATAGCAGGAGCCTGACTCTCACTGTTCTCAGAGTCTCCTAGGAAGACTAGGAAGATGTGGTGATGCAGATGAGACAGCTCTTGATCGAGGGGGGGGCCAGATAAGTGTTTGGGGGAAGGAGGACAGTTAGTGGGGTGTTTTTTTTTACTTTAAAATAAAAACAATTAACCTTTAGAAACACTTTAATCTGCCTGTAATAAAACACTAATCTATTGACTATCTACTAAACCTAATAAAACCTAATATATTACTTTATTATTTTATTAACTATATACATTCAAAAACTTTTTCATCTATTTTTACCACTATTTCATCATAAATTCCTGTCATACGCATCTCCTTTCCTCATAGCTTTAGCTGTATACTCCGCCCGAATCACTAGCCTGCTGAACGACATATCAGATTGGATGTCGCTCCACTTCCTTAAACTGAACCTCTCCAAAACCGAGCTCCTAGTTTTCCCCCCAGCCCAGCCCGCGCACCCCTCCACTGACTTCTCCATCACGTCCAACAATGCCATCATCAGGCCCAGCCCACAAGCCAGAGTACTGGTGTCATTCTTGACTCCAATCTATCCTTCCTGCCTCAAGTCCAATCGCTAACAAACTCATGCAGACTCCACCTCCGCAACATCGCCAAAATACGCCCATTCCTAACCCCAGAAACCACTAAGCAACTCATCTACTCCCTCATCATATCACGACTCGATTACCTCAACTCCCTCCTCACTAGCCTCCCTCACTGCAGACTATCCCCGCTTCAAATCGATCCTGAATACGGCAGCCAGACTCATCCACCTTACCAACCGCTCCTTTTCCGCCACCCCCCTCTGCCAATCCCTCCACTGGCTTCCGATTGCCCAACGGATCAAATTCAAAACGCTTACACTGACGTACAAAGCTGTCCATAATACTGCCCCAAACTACATCACCTACCTAATATCCAAATACCACCCAAAACGCACTTTCCGCTCCTCACAAGACCTCCTTCTCTCTAGTTCCCTGGTCTCCTCCTCCCATGCCCACCTCCAGGACTTCTCCAGGGCATCGCCTATCCTCTGGAACTCCCTACCCCAATCCATCAGACTATCACCTACTCTCCTCTCCTTTAGGTGCATCCTGAAAACCCACCTCTTCAGGGAAGCCTACCCTGCCCCCTGCTAATTGCCGATCTCCTCCACTCTTCCTACCACTCCATCCCCCACAGCTTTTCCTCCTGTACCACTATCCCCTCCCTCCTAGATTGTAAGCTCTAAGGAGCAGGGCCCTCGAACCCCTCGTGTATCGCATTGTATTGTTATTGTACTGTCTCATGTAGTGTCTCCCATTGTAATGTACAGCGCTGAGCGAACTATTGGCGCTTTATAAATACTGTATAATAATAATAATTCAGATACTGAGCATGGAAATTGTTACAGCTTTGCAACTCTGATTTTAAGCCAATATGGACAGGCCACAATTTCTGAGTGATTGAACAGGCATATTGCATCTTAAAATAAAAAGTGTATTTTTTTGTTTTAAATTGAAAATAGAAAAAATATACATATTTTCAGCACACATTTGAAGCCATGTTTGTATAGGCCACCATTTCAAAAGAATAAAATAGATAGAAATAAAAAATTGTAAAAAATGAATAAATAAAATTAATTAACAAACCCCAACAGATGGGAAAAGGTTATAGAGTTGTACCTTTTTGGACAGGCAGCAATTTCTGAAGGAATATGCAGGCTTAACGCATCTACAAAATAGATAATTAGCTTCTTGTTTTGGAGCCTGAAGATGGAGAATATTAACAAATTTGCTCCACAGCTACTAAGAATCTGGAAATAAAAACACATTTTCTACAGATTTGCATCACACTTTTCTGTTTCAATATTTTTATTAAGAAAGTTTTGTCTTAAGAATACAACAAGTTCAAGATACGCCCACGCAGGGGCAGAGCAGAACAATAACACATAAACAGATACATCCTGCTGACTTGTATTAGCCAAATAATGAAATGTCCAATGACATCAAGGAGGGACGGCAAAAAGCCGAACCAAATAATAGCAGCAGTAATCCAACATATTACCGGAAAAGAAGAGAAAAGAAAAAAGGTTAGAAGGATAAAGAAAATAAAACGACAAAAAAGGAATCAGAAAGAAAACATGGAGGAAAGGGAAACTGGAAGAATCACGGATCCAGGGCTAGCACAGGCAGCGACTATAAGAGGCCATAACTAGTAGGAGGCAGGGATGGCAAGGAATAACGTATCCAAGGTTCCCAAACCTTAAGGAATCTCGGATGAGAATCATGAAGAATTCTAGACATCTGTTCATTGCTCAACATAGCATTCATCCGGGTCTTCACCCCCTGGAAGACAACCGAAGGGGTAGTCCAAGCTTGAGTTATAGCACGTTTGGCCGAAATAAATAGGTAGGATGCCAATTTCTGCTGAGACCTAGACAGACCCAAAATTGGGCAATGCAGGAGGGCCACCCTTGCATCCCTACAGACCGTAATATGAAATAGCGTTTGTAGCAAACCAAAAACCCTAGACCAGAAGCCTATCAATCGCGGGCACAACCACCAATTGTGCAAGACGTCCCCATGTAGACCACCTATCTCCGCCAGTTGGATTAAAGTGAGCAGTCAGAGCTGGGACCCAGTACCACTGCAGGAGAACTTTGTAGGCTGCCTCAAGAGTGACTGTATTGAATGAACATTTCACCACCATCCCCCAGGCCCTACACCAATCCTCCACCGCAATCGAGACACCCAGACCTCGCTCCAATTGAGAGACATAAGACAGGGGTGGTGAGGAGGACCTACTGTTAAGAAAGGCATAAATTACAGAAATGAGACCAGGGGCCCCTGGGGAATGCTGACAAACATGCTCAAAGGGCGTCTTGCAGTAAGGGTAAGGGTATGTAGAAGTACGACGGAGAGATAGGACCCAGTGGCGCAATTGCAAATACCGATAATATTCCCGTGGCGGTACCCCCCTTGATTCTCGAAGAGACTCCCATGATGGAAACGTACACACGCTCAGAAAATCATGTACAATAACAAAGCCATGGGAGGTCCACCAAGAGAAAGAAGGGAGATGTTCTAGGCCTGGCAGAAATAAACGATTATGCATAATCGGCAAAAGAGGTAGAAATGATTAAATCAAATTACCTGAATATTTTACAGAATCCCAGGTTCCTAAACTGTGAAGCATGATAGGGCTCAAATCCAGAGGACGCAACTTAGGCGGGAGCCAAAGCAGTGTAGTTAAGGAAAGCAGAGCACAGTTGGGTAATTCCAAGAGTATCCATAACGGATATCTGTCGTGGCATGAAGCATAGACAACTGGGAAATCTGAGCTGCCAAGTAGTATCTAGAAACATATGGAACTCCCAAACCTCCCTGTAATCTATGAGTATACAGAGTGGCTCTAGGCACTCTAGGACGTTTATGAGCCCAAATAAAACTGAGAATCGGGCTTTGCAGTACACAAAGAAAAGATGCAGGGACCTGAATAGGGAAAGTGTGGAAAAAGTACAGGATCAAAAGTATAGTCATCTTGACAGCATGTATACGGCCAATCCATGATAAAGACGGAAACTGCCAAGAATGAAGCAGGGAAGTAACAGAGCGCAATAAAGGGTGCACCACACTTTCGAAGCCTTGTTTGGATGGGCTGCAAATTTTGAGGTGGAGAGTAAATAAATTGCAAGAAATTGAATTTAAGACTGAATGAAGAAGGTGCAATTTAAAAGATTTAGACCACAGCTTTTAGGCCCTTTTGGACAGACCACTATGGGGGCACCATAGAGCAAGCAGACTGCATCTTACAAAGGACAGATTCCCAGGCAGAAGAGGGAAAAATATCCAGCTTTTCAGCTCAGCTTTTATAACATTTTTGACAGGTGGTTTAGAGGTTGAAAGAGCAGGTAGACTGTATCTGAAATTAAAAATATATATATTTTCATAACATTTTCGTTTCAAATTTAAGAAAACATGTTAGAAATTTCAAGCACACATTTTATTTTTTTTAAATTGTCTCCAAATTGTGAGAGATTGAGTGGGAACACTGCATCTAGACATTTTTCTTTTTTTTTTACATTTCAGACAAACTACTTTACAAAATTGCATACCTCTCTTTTAAAACTATTTGGATAGGCCACTATTTCTCAGGGAGAGAGGAGGCAGTTGTTATCAATAAATTTGAAATTAGACTGCAAATTTGCCAAGACAGAAAATAACAATTAATCCAATTTGCTGAAGAGAATCTCATTCTTACTTATTACTAGGAGACAAATTAGTAAGCAGCATGTATTCTTTTCATACACAGATTTAAAAAATTCTTCAGATTTACTGAACAGAATTCCACCCTTTTTAATGCGAGGCAATTTTGGAGGCAGAGTGTAGACATATTCCAACTTGAAAATATATAAAAATATACGTTTTGCTTTTTTCCAAATTTGAAAAAGTTTTGACAAAATTGTTAAAAAAAAAACCAAAAAACATTGGAAGCACCAATGTATATGAAAGAAAACATACTATGCAGTTGTAGAAATGTGCTAGCTGCTTTAAATCTTAAACAGCAGCTGCAAAGCATTTTTCTCTTTTCCCTCTTTGTGAGTGACAGACAGGAAAAAACAGGACTGTGCTCTGATTGGCTGTTGCTGCAGCTGAGAAGGATCTACCCATCGCAGCACTGCGTACCTGAACTTATGATTGGCTGTTGAAAAAGAAGAGAAGAGGAAGGAGACATTTTGGGTTGGGACGCATGGACTGTTTGTGTAAGTCACAAAGGTCTCACTCTCTGTCCTGCTAGAACCCATAAACTGGGCTGGGAGTGTGTACCCAG